GAGATAAAACAAAAAACGAGAATTTTAGACCAATATCCCTGATGAACATCGATGCAAAAATCCTCAATAAAATACTGGCAAACCGGATTCAGCAATACATCAAAAAGGTTATCCACCATGATCAAGTGGGCTTCATCCCTGGGATGCAAGGCTGGTTCAACATACGCAAGTCAATAAACGTAATCCAGCATATAAACAGAACCAAAGACAAAAACCACGTGATTATCTCAATAGAGGCAGAAAAGGCCTTTGACAAAATTCAACAGCCCTTCATGCTAAAAACGCTCAATAAATTCGGTATTGATGGAACGTATCTCAAAATAATAAGAGCTATTTATGACAAACCCACAGCCAATATCATACTAAATGGGCAAAAACTGGAAGCATTCCCTTTGAAAACTGGCACAAGACAGGGATGCCCTCTCTCACCACTCCTATTCAAATAGTGTTGGAAATTCTGGCTAGGGCAATCAGGCAAGAGAAAGAAATCAAGGGTATTCAGTTAGGAAAAGAAGATATCAAATTGTCCCTGTTTGCAGATGACATGATTGTATATTTAGAAAACCCCATCATCTCAGCCCAAAATCTCCTTAAGCTGATAAGAAACTTCAGCAAAGTCTCAGGATACAAAATTAATGTGCAAAAATCACAAGCATTCTTATACACCAGTAACAGACAAACACAGAGCCATATCATGAATGAACGTCCATTCGCAATTGCTTCAAAGAGAATGAAATACCTAGGAATCCAACTTACAAGGGATGTAAAGGACCTCTTCAAGGAGAACTACAAACCACTGCTCAGTGAAATCAAAGAGGACACAAACAAATGGAAGAACATACCATGCTCATGGATAGGAAGAATCAATATCATGAAAATGGCCATACTGCCCAAGGTAATTTATAGATTCAATGCCATCCCCATCAAGCTACCAATGAGTTTCTTCACAGAATTGGAAAAAACTGCTTTGAAGTTCATATGAAACCAAAAAAGAGCCCGCATTGCCAAGACAATCCTAAGTCAAAAGAACAAAGCTGGAGGCATCACGCTACCTGACTTCAAACTATACTACAAGGCTACAGTAACCAAAACAGCATGGTACTGGTACCAAAACAGAGATATAGACCAATGGAACAGAACAGAGTCCTCAGAAATAATACTACACACCTACAGCCATCTGATCTTTGACAAACCTCAGAAAAACAAGAAATGGGGAAAGGATTCCCTATTTAATAAATGGTGCTGGGAAAATTGGCTAGCCATAAGTAGAAAGCTGAAACTGGATCCTTTCCTTACTCCTTATACGAAAATTAATTCAAGATGGATTAGAGACTTAAATGTTAGACCTAATACCATAAAAACCCTATAAGAAAACCTACGTAATACCATTCAGGCATAGGCATGGGCAAGGACTTCATGTCTAAAACACCAAAAGCAATGGCAACAAAAGCCAAAATTGACAAATGGGATCTAATTAAACTAAAGAGCTTCTGCACAGCAAAAGACACTACCATCAGAGTGAATAGGCAACCTACAGAATGGGAGAAAATTTTTGCAATCTACTCATCAGACAAAGGGCTAATATCCAGAACCTACAAAGAACTCAAACAAATTTACAAGAAAAAAACAAACAACCCCATCAAAAAGTGGGCAAAGGATATGAACAGACACTTCTCAAAAGAAGACATTCATACAGCCAATAGATACATGAAAAAATGCTCATCATCACTGGCCATCAGAGAAATGCAAATCAAAACCACAATGAGATACCATCTCACACCAGTTAGAATGGTGATCATTAAAAAGTCAGGAAACAACAGGTGCTGGAGAGGATGTGGAGAAATAGGAACACTTTTACACTGTTGGTGGGATTGTAAACTAGTTCAACCATTATGGAAAACAGTATGGCGATTCCTCAAGGATCTAGAACTAGAAGTACCATATGACCCAGCCATCCCATTACTGGGTATATACCCAAAGGATTATAAATCATGCTGCTATAAAGACACATGCACACGTATGTTTATTGTGGCACTATTCACAATAGCAAAGACTTGGAATCAACCCAAAAGTCCATCAGTGACGACTGGATTAAGAAAATGTGGCACATATACACCATGGAATACTATGCAGCCATAAAAAAGGATGAGTTCTTGTCCTTTGTAGGGATATGGATGAAGCTGGACTGGTGTGTTTTACTTAGCGTAATGTTTTCAAAATTAATTCACATTGTACCATGTATCGAACTTTATTCCTTTATATGGTCTAATACTATTTGATTGTATAGATATACCACATTTAGTTTTTTCATTCAGCCACTTGAGATGTGCCTAATTTATGGCTATCATAAATAATGCTGCTGTGAACATTTCTTTATGTGTGAGTGTTTGTGTAAACGTGTCTTTTCTCTCCTCTTGGGAAAATGCATAGGAGTAAAGTTGCTAGAACATAAGGTAACTCTATGTATTGTGAGGAACTGCCAGATTGTTTTCCAAAGCAGCTACACTATTTTACATTCTCATCAGCAGTTTAGGAGGGTTCCAATTTCTCCACTTCCTCACCAGTACTTGATTTTATCTGACTTTTGGAATCTAGCCATCCTCGTAGGTAAGAGTAGTATCTCATATGGTTTTGATTTGCATTTCCCTGGTGACTAATTATGTTGAGCATCCTTTCATGTGCTTATTGACCATTTGAATATATTTCTTAGTGATAAGACTATTTGGATCCTATGACCATTTTTTTATTGGGTTATTTGGTTTTTTTTTATTCCTCAAAAAGTGTTTTAATTCCATCTGATATCTCATATTCCATGAACACACAGTTTTTCTTTCCTTTCATTAAAATATAGTTGAATTGTTTTTCTTCAAAGGCTACAGCCTTTTTAGACCACTAGTTTCCATGCAGTAAGCTTCTGCTTTTTTGGAGAGCATCAGAGATTTTTATTGCCTTCCTTAAGGCTCCATGACATCACTAAATAAACCTGACACAATTCTTTTCTGCACTAGTAGTTAGAGTTTTCCAACCAGAACGGTTTTTATTGATCCCTAGGGGACCAGCTAACAGAGAGAATGACAATGAGTTGGAGAGCTAGGTAAGCTTCTAAAGTGACTGCCAAATTTTAGTATTTTTTCATATTCTTCCAATTCTAATGTATTTTTCACTGTGACCTTCAAATTGCACTTAGTATATTCTGGATTCAGACAAAAGGCAATTTCATTTACAAATCTTACAAACTTAATTTCATTATGAGTGAACATTCATTTTCCTGTGATTTCTATGTGTTTGGCATTTTAACAAAGATTACTCTTTATAATAAAGATATGTTTTGCATAAACTTTTATGTGCTAAATACGTTACGTCAATATATATCAATCAAAAAATAAGAGAAACGGAGAAGAACAACAGTAACAATAGGCTCTCTCCACTCTGGCAAAATAAAAGCAAAAGAAGCAAAATAAAAATAAACAAGCAGAAAAATGACAGGATAATCTGACTAATAGAGGAATGTGCTAGAACTGATAATTTAATCAAAAGCCAGCTGTTAATCGAAAGAATAGTTATTTCATCAAGAATCTTTTTAAAAGATTCTTTGTAAAACATTAACCTAATAATTTTGTTCCCCTGTTTAAAACCCTCAGAAGGCTTCCTATTGCTGTTAGGATAGAACCACACATATTTCAAGAGGTGTAAGAGGGAAGCCCTGAACAATCTGGGCCCACATGACCCCATAAGCCTCACTGTTACCACTTTCTTCCCTGACTCTGAGTTTCATCCTTATTAGCCTTCATCCAATTTTTACTCACTTTTAAAAGCCCCTATGCATTAGGCTTATCAGAACTTATGGTGAATTTGTATCTGTATTAAATGGTATTAGGGCCAGGGTACCTAGGAATAAGCACATCCTACAGAGACTATTTCAAAAAGTTTCCAAGGGAGATACACAACAGGGAATAACAACACAGAAACAGAGAAGAATCACAGCACTTTTATGCAGATTTTGGTCCCAATCTAATTCAAACTTTAGGTGACCAAGCTACAATAATGTGAATTGGGCCAGTGAGCTGATTGGCCTCCTTATTTCCTGAGGCAAAACCCAACTTCTCGATTCGTTATACACTAACCAGTGCTATGGAAGAGAGAATGCACAGAGTGAGAGCAAGTCACCCTGGTACAGAAATGAGCAGAAAAGAAAGAAGAGAACAAGCCACAAAAGAGTGCTAACGACACAAAGGCGTGAGACGCTGCCCGCCTGCAAAATGGCTGCATCACTGTTCCGGACCCTGAGGAATGCCGCACAGCTCCTTCCCCAGGAGCCGTAAGAACAAGTTGTTGGTGATAGGGTTAGAAAAAATTCTTGAAATCCATCTCTAATGTCAACATGACTCTCTTTTCTGAGATTTCTTACCTTTCCGTTTTAAAATAAATAATAAGAGGCCGGGCGTGGTGGCTCATGCCTGGAATCCCAGAACTTTCAGAGGCTTAGGCAGGTGGATCCCTTGAGGCAGGCGGATCCCTTGAGGTGAGAAGTTAGAGACCAGCCTGGCCAAAATGGTGAAACCCATCTCTACTGAAAATACAAAAATTAGCTGGGTGTGGTGGTGGGCATCTGTATTCTCAGCCACTCAGGAGGCTCAGGCAGGAGAACTGCTTGAACCCGGGAGGTGGAGGTTGCAGTCAGCAGAGATCACACCACTGCACTCCAGCCTGGGCAACAGAGTGAGATTCTGTCTTAAAAAATAAAAATAAAAAAATAAAAATAAAATAGCAGTCTTAAAAAAGCAGAAAACCAAAACAGGTAATAGGCAAAAAGTCATGAAAGTTATTTCCCCCAACTAACATCTAGACTACTTTACTGAAAAAATACATATATACATTTAAATACTATTTTTTTTTTGAGACAGAGTCTCGCTCTGTCGCCAAGCTGGAGTTGTGTGGCACGATCTCGACCCACTGCAACCTCCGCCTCCTGGGTACAAGTGATTCTTCGGCCTCTGCCTCCCAAGTAGCTGAGACTACAGGTGCACATCACCACACCCAGGTAATTTTTGTATTTTTAGTAGAGATGGGGTTTTACCATGTTGGCCAGGATGGTCTCGATCTCCTGATCTCGTGATCTGCCCACCTCAGCCTCCCAAAGTGCTGGGATTACAGGTGTGAGCCACCCCACCGGGCCTATTTAAGTACTTTTTTAAAAAATGTACCTCGTAGGTCTTTTAGGCTGTTTAAAGTGCATAGCAATCAAAATAAAGCTTCTCAATTTACCTTATTTATTAATGGTAAAAGTATTAATAAACCAAGTAGAGAAATTATAATAAATCCTATGGTTCACACTCCACTCACCAAGATAAATCCCAGGTAAACAAAGAGTTTCAAATTATTTTAAGTGCCTTCAAAGTACTGAAAGAAACATAGGTGTTACTATAAACTGAGGATGTGGACCTACACTTTCAAAATAACTAACAGAAAAGTAAGAGGCAATGGAATTGAATACATGAAAGTTTATGTTTCTCTAGGGACATGTCATCATAATTAACCTGAAAACAGAAACTGGGCAAACTATAATTATATAAATGACAAAGAATTAAAACAAATACATAAATCACTAAGATCCAAGTAAACGAATAGGTGAAGGAAATATATAGGCAATCCACAAATGTGAATTATAAATTTGGGAAAAATCACTTCTTGTAATGTAGATAACTAATTAAAATGAAAATATTTATAAAATTCAGTAAGAGAAGGAGCAAATATCCAAATCAACACGTAGGTAAGGCTAATATAGAGATAATTAACAAATGTTTCATAAATAAATAAGAAAATGTGCATTCGAAAATATTGTATTGAGAAAAATTATTAATAACTCAGGGCTTTTTCAGATGTTTATTTGTCTTCTGAAACAAATAAATGAGGTCTTCTGTCCCCCTCCCCTCCTTTCAGGTCACTTCAGCAACGCGATGGAAAATGAAGATGGAAAAGGGAGGTGGAGAGCATGCCCTGGGGAGGTTTGCAGTTGTTTCTCTGCTGTATTTGGAGGAGGCAGATTCAGAAGCAGCTGTGGTATATGAAAGAAAGGATGAAGGGAAAAGAGAATTTTCTGAAGTATGACTGAAAACTGATGGAAGCCACAGGGAACTTATTTGATATCTTCTGCTGTTTTCATACACTGAGATCTTTTGACTGCTGTGTTGCTCTTAGAATAAACAGTATTAGTTATGGCCTTACATGCTGTACACATAACCTTATAGATAAAGAATGCCTATCTGTATAAAGGTATATTTTCAGAAGGAAGGAAGGAAGGAGGGAGGGAGGGAGGGAGGGAGGGAGGGAGGGAGGGAAGGAAGGAAGGAAGGAAGGAAGGGAAGGGAAGGAAGGAGCCAAAAATTCTTTATGATATCTTTGGGTAGATTAGGATATCCAATGACTTCTGAAAATTTTCTCTTCTCTATTATATAAGTCACACATAAAAGTAAGGGAAAAATAGACATTCGACAAGTTTGGTTATACTATTTTTAAAAAGGATATTGTGACTCAATATATTTTTTAAAAGCTATTTTTCTTAGAACATCCGAAAAGTTGTCTGAATAAAAGAGAGGAAACATAGATTTTTTTAAAAAAGTGTAGTATTTTTATAGAATTAATATCTTAATCCATCTGATTCATATGCCATTTATTTTAGCTTTAGAATTTTGAAAAGGGGAATTACAGTGCATTTAAAAAAAAAGAAAGGGTAAATATTACTAAAATCTTTGGAATAAATGCAGGGAAGAAAGGACTTTTTCTATTGGCAAGTTTCAAAATATATTATTGACTTCCACCTTAATTCTTTTCTGAATCAGTACAAAACCCTTTTCACTACAATTAGATACTTTTCACCTTCTCTACAGAATTGTGTTAGACTCCAACAATAAAAACGGGTAGCGCACATGTGCCTCAGCAATGCTTTTTCTAGTCCTCCTGCACTAAATGTCCATGCACCAATACTTTTCAACACATATATCTTTAATTCACTCAGTCTTCACAGCACATAGGGGGTATGCTAGAGATGCTGCCCAAGAAATCAAAATGAAACACAGAAAAGAAATGTAATATGTACCAGATATACAAATGGTTTAAGTCATGGCATCTATGGCAGTTTATCATTATTCTACGTAGATGAGCTAAGACTATATCCAATCTATGGGCAACAATACCCTTCTCATTCCTGATGAAATTCCCAACTTTCTTAGCGGCCATGAAAAAACATCAAATTTAAAAAATCAGAAACAAAGTTTTTGCATGAATTTTAACCTCACACAGACTGTACTAGTAGAACCATTTATTTTAAAACCTACAAGATTTCTGCCCATCTGCAAGATTTCATGAATGCTCTGTGCAAGAAGGAAGTTAGTGAAAGATCAGATCAATGACGGGTCCTACATATAGTGGTTGTTGCGGAGCACTGAAATAAAAGCATTCAGTGGAGTTTGGAAGCAGAATGAAACTATAAAGAAGACATTACAAAACCTCTTAAACCTCAAGTTCATTTTGTAGATGTTGCAAAAGTCATTAAATATCTAAAATGCTTCAGGAATCTTCAGTGTTGCTTTTTAAAGTAAACATAGCACTCAACCAATGCTAGATAAAGGAACATATAGCATTTTATGCTATGTTACTTAAATAACTCGATGAAAAGATATATTGTTACATTATTAGATATTAGTGGGAGCTCTTAGAAAGATTATTCCACTTAGTGACAGTCTGTTAAATAGATGGTTTGGAGCACATAGCTCAACACTGAGCTCTGTAGAACGGGAAAAGCTATATGCTGACATCTCCTGGGAGATTCATGGTGCTCATTAACATGTCAAAGACTGAGAAGTCCTGCAGTGGAGACATTTTTTCAGTTTGTGTAGCCCACCGTTTCCCAAAATTACTTGACTATGAAATGTTTGTTTCATATGAAACAAACTCATGTTTCCATTGATGTATATTCCAAAAACACACTTTAGGAAGATCAGATCAAGGGAAATGTCCTCATCCCAGTGTTAAATTATGTTGACATTGACTACCTACTTTCCTCAAACCACTTAAAAACACCACAATGATCCAGGCTCCAGCAGAGGAGTGTGACCTGTGATCGCCAGCAGCTGATTCAACAGAAATTAGTGTACACAAAACATGCACTCTTAATAGTCTAGGCTCAAAATACACATCCTGTTCTCTTATCTATTAGAATAAAGAACGTAAACAGAGACCCTAACATTATTCCAGGAAAGATGTCATAAAGCAACAAAAATTATCAATCCCAGGACCAATTGTGGATGCTGGAAACCATTTGCGTGCAGGCTGTATCTTAAGAGAGAAAAAGAAAACGGGATCAAACTCATGGAGTGGCAGAATAAAATCAAAACAGTTTGTCTAGTCCATCACAAATTCTCCCTAGGTCAAAACTGAATTTTTATTTTGGCTATGGTCTTAATAAGAAACTGTGGATAAAATTAATTCAGTGAAATGTCATAGGATTAAATCAGCCAAGAGAGTGCCTGGAGAAACAAAAAGCATCCAGTAACTTTTTTGCAGATGGCAGATTTTCCAAGGCCTACATGAGGAAGAAGAAACTGAGAAAAAATGTTTCCCTAACTGAAATTTAAATGTGATCGTGAAAGGAAAAATCACAGCTAACCTTCTTTATAGAACACACTTTCTTTCTTTCTTTTTTTTTTTTTCAATTGTTCTTTAGGTGTATTTTTTATTCTTTTTGATTTCCGGACTATACCAGTCAAGGTTGAAACACATAAATAGAACCAGTAGGAGATGTATGCTAAGAGATTTATTGCAAGGACTTGGCTCCTGTGATTTGGGAGCTGGCTAGACAAGACGGAAATACATGGGGCAGGCATGAGGGAAGGCAAACTGGTTCTCTCCAGCAGGAGCTGACACTTCTGTCCCCAGGTGGAGTTTCTCCTCCATCAGAGGGGCCCGAATCTGCTTTTCAGGACTTTCAAGGACTGAATCAGATCACCCATATGGTCTAGGATTATCTAGGATAGCCTTCCTTATTAAAGTCAACGGATTACAGACTATTTACATCTTCAAAATACCTGACAGCAACACCAACATTAGTGTTTTGTTGAATAACTGGTTATTATTGCCTTGCCAAGCTGACACATAGAACTGACCACCCAGGGATATGTGAATTCATAGATATAGCATAGTTAGTAAGTTGTAAAAAGTGATTTGTGACTCTGAAAATGCATAGACTCTATATATGTTTCTAACACACATACACATCAAATTTTATAACATATCATAGTCTAAAACAATTACAGGATATTTGTTAGAATTAAGTTTGGCTTTCTACAACAAAAACAAGAACAACAAAAACAACAACAACATAACGTTGTTTTTAGAACACAGAAGCTTATTTCTCTTTCACATAAAAGCAGACTGGAGGTAGCCTATCCAGGGCTTGTGTGGCGGCTTTTCTGCATCTCAATTTCATAACTGGTTGAAGGTCCTATTGTTCCTGTTCCTTTCTGCTTTGCTTTCTTGGGCAGATCTCTTCCCACACCAAGGTTAACCAATCATTCGTGATAACTTCTAGAACTCTATCCTCCATTTCTGTTCTCTAAGAAGCGAAAAAGGCAAAAGGGGGAAAAGATTTTTCTGTCCCCTTTAAAGACCTTGCTGGAATTCCCAGTTTTGCTTACACGTTTTTGGCCAGAATTTGGTCACAGAGCCACAAAAAGCTGTAAGGTAGGGTAAGAAATGTAGTCTGCTTCCAGAAATCAGTATACTTGGCTAAAATGTGGGATCGTGTTACCAAGAATCAAAAGGAAAATGGATGTGAAAGTAGGTAGCTGGTATCCTCTGCCTCACCATGTGACCTTCAACTCCTCAAGAACATTTGGCCTCTCACAATTATGTGAGTGTGTGTGGCCTTTGTGCAATTGATTTCTAAGGGTGGGTTGAGAAGGCATGACGTGTATTTGTCAGGTATATTTGTGTTTTTTCAAGGCTCTTTCAGACTTTGCCTGTTAGCAACTTCTGCAAACTTTACTTTTTAATATATAAAGCCATTCTACCCAAAACTTCAGCCTTAACTTTGAAATCTTTATGTTAGAAAGGGTTTCAGATCCAAACTCTTTGGAACTGGCTTCAAGACAACTGAGTTTGGTTCTGATTTAGTGCTGATTCTGGCAGCTGATTTTCTGTCTTATTCCTAAGCATGGTTTCCACAGTATATCCAGATTTGGCCAATCCAGTTTGTGTGTGTGTGTGTGTGTGTGCATGTTGCTTTCTGTTTTTATTTTCCTCTCTCATTCATATCATAGATATTAAATTATCTAAAAGTGAGGAGAATAATAGTCCTGCCTTCCTTTCACCAGCATGACCTTAGGCTTTGGTGTGTTTCTGATGTTACTAAAGTGACTCTTTTTTTTCCCAGCTTTGATTTCTGAGCATTGTTTGAAAGCCTACATTACACAATATTTGCCACATCCATTTCTCATCATAACCCAGAGTAAAAGTTATCTCCTTAAATATTGACATAAAATTATTATTCTTGTGTTCAATAAAGGAGGCTTAAACATGAGAATAAAGAAATGCACTATGTAGTAAATGGCAATGATTTGAAGAGAAAATAGTTTACTTTTAGGCTATCAGAAATGCAAAGTTGGGGCAGACAGAGAACAGTGTAAGCTCTTTCTGTGAAGAAATGCCTCATTTGTTCATTACTGATTTCTTTGGTAATGTTGAAATGCCTTAACTGTGCAATCATGAAACTGAATACCACTTGCTTATTGCTGTAATTTGTAATCATTTACAAGGTTGCTGAGTAATAATTTTATTATTGCTGTTAGAAGATGAGTCTATTAGGAAACAACAATTGCCAACTCTTTATCCTTTAGAGCACTGTATAGATAGAATTATGATACCAATTGCTGTTTTCCACGAGACATTGGTCTTTAATTGGTGATACCAGTGTACAGTAACAGCTAGCAGAGAACTGCTTAAACCTATATTTTTTTCCCTAGATGGTCATAAAGGGACCATTATCTTCTTACATTCTAAGTAGCACTTAGACCTGCATTTTGTACTCTGTGATTTTGAACATTTTTATCTCTTTGTATTGGCCTACTCCTTCTCTGGCACCATCATTGGGAAAAAAACTTTCCAATTGTTATACATTTCATTTTGCTTATAATATGTAAGCAATTCATAAACTTGGGCCACCATTTGG